AAATGGACATCAATTTTTTTAATTTAAGCAGGGCCACAATTTTTACAGTGTAGTCGAGGATGAGCAGGGTTCATACACGGGATCAGAAGAGGAGACAGTACCGATAGGGAGAGGCAAAGGCGAAATCCAAAGACAGGCATAGGTCATCAACAAGGTCAGAAGGCTGAGGCACAAAAAGGGACAGGCAAAAAACATGGTCGAGGGAAACAGGCGTGAATCAAGATTAAAGAGCTGTGAACAAGGAGAGTACGCTGGATAACTGTGGCTGGAAACAAGCAGTTGATCTGGCAATGTAGTGGAGAAAGCAGGAAGTATATATACACCCAGAAACAGGTGGAAACCATCAGTAGCAATCAGAGAGAGAGGCGTGGCATGTAAAGAAGCTGGTAGGAGCAGCAGAGGAAAAACCCAGGAGAGCAGAGAAGAAAAAGTCAAACAGTGAACAGAGTGATGAGAAAAGGGGAAAAAAAAAAGAGTGTAAACTGACAAATTAAGATAAGGTGGCCTGCAAGGCCAGGCAAGGGAGCCAAATTCAGATAAACACACAGTTGTGTTGGGGACAGGCAGAACTTAATGACATCTACCTTGAGTCTGTGTTGGTCCACTCGGTTCCGAAATGTCCAAATTAAATGGCCACACTGATGGACCGTGCCTGAGAATAATCCCTGAGATCTGATCCATTCTGTCAAAAGCATTTGAGTCTGGGTACTTGAGGCACAAACCAAGCCATCATAAAGCAAGCAGCGTGATCGGGTCCAAATTTGCTGCCGATGACTTCCTTGGTTGTTGATAAAACCAGCAACCAGCCAAATCCAAAAAGCAGGAACCAGTTATCATAAATCAAATTATAAATGTGTCCTTAAAATCCACAAATGGCAGCAGAGATAGACACATTATCAAGTCTTCCAAGTTGATGAGATATCAGCTGCGTGCCAACAGGGCAAATCGGCTCGCCTAAAGGCTGTCTTCTTTTTGAAGAAATGTTATCAATTGTGTTGAGGGACCAACTGACCACATCCAAGTCCATAATTATGGTTCAGAAGATATCTAGAAGAGAGGCTCAAAAACAGTTTCACAGATAAGACCGAGCAGCAAAGCAAAGTGGAGAGGGAGAGGAGGGGAAATGCGTGTGACCTCAGCGAGAGCAAGTGGTGAAGTAAGAAGACAGAGTTGTGTGGAAATGGAAATCAAAGTACAGTGAATAACTAAAAATATGCATAAAAAAGAGACAAAGTTATGACCTGTGTTGACTGCTTTATGGGTCCAAGAA